GGTGGGGGTAGGGGAGAGTTGCCACATTGGCTTCTTTGGCATTCCTCCGTTTTTTTATGGGTTGAAATTGTTTATAATTGTACTTTTAAACTCCCCTTTAAAGGAATTCCCTCCCAACTTGAACACCTTTTCTCATTTGTTTCTTCTACTGGAATTCTGCTTGTCATTGTTCTGACATTGAAAAACTCTTTTTAAACATCTAAGATACTCTTGTATGCTGCCCAAAGTCTGTAGCCTGGGGCAGGTTATAAAAACCGTGAAACGAATTAATGAGATATTTGATTACACAGCTTTAAGTTTCCTTTAAAATCAAGGATTTCAGCATTACGGAGTCACTTTCCCTTAATATTCTTGCTACTTCTACTTTTTGAATCAAGGCTTCTTTGTTGGTTAGTATCTTGTACCTTCTTCCACAAACTGAAAGTTGTCAGGAAGGCAAGTCAGGAGTTTCCCGGAAGGATCACGTGTGGCAGTTTGTCTCCTAACATATATCAAGGTATCACTAATACTTTACGCCTCAATCTTTTTGAGAAGATGTGGATATTTTTAATATGCAATTCAACTCCACCTTCCTATTACTTCTGTTCTTTTTGAACAAACTGTATCAACCAAGATGTCTTACCAATCCATTTCTCTACATAGTTTATATATTATGTATTAATATTGTCAAAGTATTGGGCTATTGAGTTTCTTTCCAATATTAGACAATTTTGTTCCAAACTCTAACATTAATTTCTGTATTCTCAGCATGAAATATTCAGATGTTGGGCAGCTGCACTGGTATTAAAAAAGAATTGAATAAAAGACTTGCCATGCAGTGAGTCAAGAAGGTGGGGCAAGTTTAGAGAGATGGAGTCTATCTCCCTTTTGAACTTTTTAAAAATTGTATTAATACCAAATTGTGGATATCTATTTATATGGCTTGGTTAGTGGGGGCCTCAAGATAGATCTTCACATTGTAATTGTTTCACAAGGAGGTTTTCTCATGAAATTATGACCATGATGTGCAAAAATGGTTTATATTTACTTTTGGTTTATATTTTTGGAGAGTTTCCAAGGGTACCATTGTCTGAGATAGCTGGCACAGATTTGGATGATTTTCAACACAACTCAAATGGCTGCCCCTATTGAATAACTCTTATGCATGACAAAAAGTAATAGAGGGGATTGTAGCCAATCACCTCAACACTGGTTTTCTGTCTCCTATTCGTTTTCTTTAAGTCGTTGGGATTCCTTTCCTCTGAAAGGAAATTTTTCTAAAGATTTTTGTTTCATTTTGCAAACCTTGGAATACCTTTAAATTTACTAGTATCCTCCTCTTGTGGATGGATAATGTCCTTCTGACTATGTGAAGAACGGCAGTTAGAAAACAGCATACTAGTCTCATGAGCCAATGACAAAGCACCCAGCCCTAGTCTCCTCTGAAACAAATCCTAGAAAGTTTAATGGGATTTTCTCCAGTTACCTTCTCTAGCCAGAACAATCCACTGAAACTTAATATATCTAAACCACAGTACAATGATAATCCTTTTACTTGTCCTGAATTTACTGGTAATAGTTGTATAGTTTTCATAGGTGGTGGGGAGTTTGAGAGAGAAAGAGGAGAAAATATCTGAAAAGAGACGAGCAATATTACATTATAAATGCAAGCCTGTTAGTATAATTAATCTCTGTACCTTTATCAATCAATCCTCAGAAATCCTACGTTTTTTTTCATCTTTGCTCCTTTCCTTATAGTTCTATAAATTACTTATAGAGTGACATTTATGCTGCCACTAACTCCAAATGAATGAAGTTAAGCTTTGACTTAGTCCAGGAAGTGGTTTGTTTCTACAGAGTTTGTGGTATGAGAAGATTACTTTCACTTGCAAATTTTTGTAATTTTTTCCTTGATATTTTTCCTTTCCAGGGCATCCAAACTCAGCAAGGTTTTTGGGTTTCTCCCCCCAACTCCCCCCAAAGTACACAATCCCTATGTGAAAGTTATATGCCACATTTAAAATGTAAGAAGTAGCTTTTGGTGAAAGAGACTGTTATTTCCAAATGTTACAGAGTTCCTAACAATCGGAAAAGCAAAGCTGAAACCTGCCATGCCATCCCACCTCTATAATCACAATACCCATCAACTTATTCTCTTAATTTATCACTGTTGTTTCCTTATGTGATGCAAACCTGCACAAAGAAGTCCTTCATGGTACACTGCACACAATAGCAGTCTTTTCAATGTCAGTCATCCAGTCCCACCATTTAAGGTGATTAAGTTTTATTACTGAATTTATGTTAAAGTATAATGTCATCAGATTTACACAAGCTTCTGTTAAGGAGAAGAATCATGTCTTAACCTGTTTCCCACAGACAAAGGCAAACACGTTATACATATAATTATTAGACAATTGTACATATAATCCAGCCAAAGTTAGCAGTTTTATTTTCCATTGAATTCAATGGGAGATAGTGATGCAGTTTTTATTAATGTGAATGGATCATGACTATTCTTTGTGTTTTGAAAGCTTCAAGCTATTATTATTATTATTATTATGGGGTTTAGTCAGTGTAAAACTTTGACCCTGAACATTTGTTCATCTACTAACAATTGACTTGATTAGAAATGTATTTTGAAAAAGTATGCTTAGAAATGTGAAAATCACTTATGTAGGGGGAAAAACCATAAGATAAGTATATATTTTATGAAAATTCAACTGAAAAAATACAAATTCTTGAACATAACGCTTTTTCTAATTAGCTTTGCTATATGGACACAGATGGCAGTTCAGTACAATCCAGTATATTTACTTTTATGAAACTCTGAAATGAATAGCCATGGCCATTTAAAGGCCCTTCCATATGTCTATTTAGTTCAAAACCAGTTTCAGATTCCTATGAACCTACAATGTCAATGGTATTCAACAACGGGGCTGCCTCAGTTATCATGAATTTGAAACTGCAGTAAAATGCCTTTTCTTTGAAACTGTACCACTGTAACATAAGTTGTGGGCAGCTTGCTCCCACCTCACTACACCTCCTAGCCTTTAGCTTCCCACCCAGTCTTTCCAAGGGAGAGATAGTGTGATGGCTTTGCAACTCCCCTTCAGATAAATCACTGATTTTTTTAAAATGTAAAACTAGGCATGAAGGATGGCAACATGCAGTAAGGATAGTTGGGGGGGGGGGGTTAAGAGATGTGCTGGTAATTTATTTTCCTTTTGTGTGGAATAATGGATTTTTGTTACTCAGGACTTGCGGCAGCTGCAATAAGGCAGTGATTGAATGATGTTTTCCTCATTTTCAGTTTTTAAAGGCTAGCAGAACTGACATAATTGATCATGCATAGTTTTCAAATTTCTTTTGAGGCATCGAGAAGTGGATATGGTGACAGTTTGGATTACCCCTAAATTCTATCCAATCCTTTGGGAGTGAGAAGCGTTGAGACTTTGTCATATGTCACATATGCACTCTCCAGTATTCCAAACATTCACACCATCTAGTGATAAAACTTGTAACAGTCCTGTAATGTGGGTTAGCGTTGTTATCTACACTGCAGATGAAAATGGCATTGACCACAGATTAATACCTAGAACTGATAGCAGATGTAATATTCTAAGACATTTACATAGGGTCTTCATTGATTAAAAGAGTGTGTAGAAGCCCAGACATCCATTCCCAACCATGATGATGCCAAAATCATGAAATATGTGTTCTGATGTCACAATGCAAGATCTACTTCCTACTTCTGTTGTGATATCACACGCAAGTATGTAAGAGACAGAGTTGGTGTCACAATGTTGCACAGCGCATTTCATCGCCTCCTGCTCTTGCTCCTCCCACAGATATCTATGGGTACCAGTAGCCCTGCAGCTTACCCTTGGCTAACTGCAGAGCACTTCCCTTTCTTCTGATAAACATCCAAAAGACATTTGTGAGAATGTTTCCTCTGCATTTGCAGATATATATTAGGAGGAAACCTAAACTTAAGGTACTTTTTTCAGGCAAGCGTACAGTCTGGCAGGGGTGGGATAATGCTAGTCCAGCTTTCTCCAACCTGGTGTCCTCTAGAACTTTGGGAATTGTACATTCAACACATCTGGAGAGCGTGAGATTGTACAAGACTGTGCTGCTGGATATAGCCTCTAAAATCCTTTCAAAGGCGTTCCTGTGAATGCCATTCTGCCACTACCTGTAACCGGATTCTCTCATCATAAAGAGCCTTGTCAAAGGCACACACTGAGCACCGTTCAAGGAGGCTTCTTTCAATGCCTTCCATTTCAGCTATATTGCTTGAATTGTTTTTTTTTAATCAGATGCCGCGGTTTGTAGAAAAGCAGATCCATGACCTTCAGAAACCGACATGGCAATTCACTTCTTGTGCCTCGGGTCCATTTCAAGGGCTCTGGGCATAACCAACTGTCACCAGATCACGGCCATGTTGTTTTCAGTACTGTACTGCATTTGCAGGTCAGCTGCAAGGCTATCAGCTGAGCCAGAGAGAAGCCGAACTAAAAAGTAAATGAAATAAGCCCTTGCAGTCCTTCTAGAGCAAGTGTCTACCAGCACGTGCTTAACTTTGCAGAATCCTCCTTGACGTCTGAACGGCTGTTTTGTTCAACGAGAGCAATTCCAGCAGGCGCGTTTCCTAGCAAGAGGCGTAAAAATCCTTGGCTGGGATCCCAGGCGGAAAGGAACCGTCCGCCAGCAGCTGTGCAGGGGAAGGCGCACCCAACGGGAGGCTCCATCTTAGAAGAAACCTTCTCTTTCGACCCTGCAACCCTTCTCGGTTACCGAAGAAAGCCTCCGCCTCTCCTGTCACTTATCGCCTACTGCCCCGCCCATCCATAGCTCCCTTTGACCAATGAGAGGCCGTTTCTTTCCTCCCGTTCGGGACTGCCGAAGGCTGCGGGGTGGGGGGAGTAATAGGCTCCGAGATTTGTATATATTTACTAGGCTGAGGCTCCTTTTCGACCAATACGAGCGAGCAGCACGATTCCCTCATTAGCATACACACCTCGTTGTTTTGCATATCGCTACAGCGGGCGCCGGGGCTCGGGCGAGTTAAGCACACACGCAGTCCCCGTATTGTGTGCAACCCTAGAAGGCAAGAGAAAGCGGGCGGGCAGGCAGGCAGGCAGTCCGGGCAAGCGAAGCGGCCGAGCCGAGGAAGAGCTACCGAGCGCGTGTGCTGGAATGGCTGAAGGGTTAACTTCCTAGAAAAAAACTGCACTACCTACGGCGGCGTGGCAAGAGGAGCTCGGAGACTGTAATGGCAGATTCCAACGGGGCACGTTTTTACCTGCTGGTTGGAGAGGACTGACGACAAACTGCCGCCTTTCCATGGGGCTGGAAGGAAGGCGAGGCGCTGAAACGTCGGCTCCTCGCGCGGCGGGACTGTGCTGAGTGAGAGGAAGGGGAAGGGAACGAAGAGGACGCTTGCTTCGGCCGAGGGTTCGCGGAGAGGTGGGAAAGGAGGGAGGGAGGCAGCCAGCAGCGCGAGACGAAGGACTCGGAGCAGCCCCAGGGCCCGGGCGGGGCGCGCTCGCGGAACTTGGCCCCTGTTCCTGAAGGGACCGTCCCCGGCCGGGCGGTGCGCGCGAGGGAGCTTCTGGCAGCCGCGGCGACAAGGAAGGGTCTCGCGATGCGCTGCCTGGCTCTGCTCGGTTTCTTCGCCTGGGGCTTCGGCTGCTTGGCTGGGCCCAGCGAAGGAGCTTCCCTTCCTCCATGCCCGGCTTCCTGTAGCTGCGATGGGGACGGAGGAGTTGACTGCTCCGGGAGGGGGCTCACCGCCGTGCCTGAAGGACTCAGCGCCTTCACCCGTTTACTGTAAGTACGGAGGGGGTGGGCGTACGGATGGGTGCCACGCTCGTCTCTACCTTGCCAAACAGGTTGTGTGCGCTTTATAATCTGGCCTAAGCCAGGGACAGAAAGGCGCCTCTTTTGCTTCTTTCAGCTCCTGGCCTGACTGCAGTGCTTACCTGTGGGGAGAGATCCTCCCCGCCCGGGGGAGTCTTATGCTTTGGAACTGCTCCCACTGATCTTGGTGGGACTTACCAACGCGTAAAGGAACCTAGGATTGAGCTGCGGGTTGCGGGTTCTGGGCTGTTCTTACTATCCGGTCCGATGAGTGATTACTTGCAAGTAAGCCTGTCAGTGACCTGGGAGTAAATGTGCAAGAGTTTTTTTTAGGTTCGGGGGGTGAACCGATCTTCGCTTGTTTGGAGTGAGTCTCACTGGACTTAATGGCTGCGTTTAGGAAATGTTAATTACCCTGTTGGCAACTTTTTGTTCAAAACGCTTCAGGGCAAAGGTTGGTCTTTTTGAAACCTTTTCAGTAGGGGAAGTGGGACATCTGGCCACAATGTTAAACATTTTGACTGTAAAGGAACTAAACATGGTAATTCGCTAACTTTGGATTCACGGATGGAGGAGTGCAATATGTCTTGTACATGGTGTTTGTGGTAGCCTTCAGTCCTTAAACACTCTTTGACTTCCAAGTAAATATGCGTATGATTTTTTTTTAATCAATAAACATTTTCTCACTGTTTGCCACCTCTCAAGTCTACAATTTTCCATTTCTCCAGTTTTGGGTTCTCATAATGAGTGGAGGTGGGGAAGAAAGGGATGACCCCTGTGACAGTCCTTGTGGGGAGATAAGATCTGTACAAAACTGTATTGTGAGTGAACAGAAGCATTGATGGATCCCACCTGCCAGTGGTGCTGTCACAGGGTTCTTGGAGAGGATTACTCTGAAGAAATATACTATATAAAGTGGTGGACCCTGATGGCCATGTTCCTGCTACACAGATGTAATTCTTTGTAAGATTCTATGTAATCTATATGTAAAATATCATTTTTTGTAATTTTACATATTACCACATTTTCCATAAATTTTAGATACCATTACATTTTTGTAATTTTAGATGTGATCAGATTTTATATAATTTTAGATATTACTTTATAACTTAGGCATAGATTGCACTTTTTGGACTTCACTCATGAATTCTAGTCAGGTTTTTTTATAAATGTATTTTAATTTGTCTTAAATTTTATTTACTGTCTCTTGATAGATTTATAAGTATTCACAGAGCACTCATGGACACATTGCTTGTACTGGTCTAAGACTGTAATAGACTGACTGTATAAAGCAAGTTAAAAATAGAGTTTACCTGTTAGCTTCTGTATTGGATGAAAAACAGCACATTTGGCTGAATATACAGATGCATTCCAGTCCACAGAAAGAGCTAGCTTCCTTATGGCACAATCATGTGCACACACACAAATTGGTGCCTTCATATTTGTGCAGAAATGCAGATGTCAAATCACTTGATCCAGGCAATATTACTTGGGCTTAGTTTGAAAGCAAATTCAGCAAAACTAAGGCACTAATACAATTAACCTCAGCTTTTCTATTTAACAAAACCATTATAAGAGTAGAATACCACAGAAAACAATATTAGGTGTGTGCTGCATCTAGGATTTCAAGGGTGTGGTGTTGCAAGGTGTGTATGTGGTTTGGTGTTAATCATTCTTAGTGCTGAATAGGCAGATCATAAAGGTCTGAAGAATTTCCTAAAAATTGTTTTGCTTTTGGAATTAATAATTAGAGCTTACTTGAGAAGCCGTAGTTTTACAGTCAGGTGTAAAATATTCAGGGACTAATGAAGCAAAAGTCTTGTTTAGTTTCAAAGATGTATGAAGGATATATTGTAGAAGATTTCAGCTGAGAACATTTGAGATGGGCAGTAAGAAACTATTATTAATTTTCAAATGGATTACGAGCAGGGTGGTGTTACTTAAGGGCCAAGAAGCTAGAAGAATTAATTTTAACACCAGTCAGAGATATGAAGCCTAAGTGAGGTTTGTTAAGAAAACATAAAATCAAGATTAAGAATATGAGAGTTCAAACTTGCTTGAGATGGCAATGTGGCTCTTAATTGAGAGTGCCATATGTTTTATATTTGGAGAGAAGGGGCAGGTGTATGTGTTGAGGAGATTTCTGCTCCCAATATGGTTGTTACAATTTTAATTTTTTTAGTTAGTGATTTATTTGCAATCTCAGAGAATAATAAATCTCTTTTCAAGCAAATAACCAAACACTTAAATAAACACCTATTAACATATAATTCAAGAAGTATAAACAATTCCCAAAGCTACAGCAGCAAAAAAATGAAATAGTGGCATAGTGAAAAGCAATACTGATTTGAAATACATAGGTTTTTAAAAATCTTTTGAATACTGCAGCTGAAAAGGCCCACTGTATGTCTCTTGGAAGGGAGTTTCTTAAGGGACAGGCCACTACTGAGTGTGTTTTGTTCCTAGGGCCTGTTGATTTTTAGTATCAATCTTAATGCAGGAACTGATATATATAAGTGCATGGGCAATCCAGCCTGGATCTGCCTCTAATTTTATACAGGATCATGTAATAGCTTCATTATTGATCCCATTCAGACAGATAGGGTTTTGAATAGCAGGTGTTAAAAACTTCCATTGTTAATTAAAGTTTTCCACAAAGCTATTAAGTTTTATAATAGGGCATATTGGGTGTGCTCTACCTTCTAGTCAGGGTTTAAAATTATAAACCTATAATGAACTTTTATTATGAGATGCAGTCACTTTTATTACTAAGATAACTGGTTTTTAAAAGAATAAAATATTATACATGCTAATACAAGAACATGATCTGAACTTTGCAGTGAGTGGAATAAGCTTGGTAAAACTTATTTAAATAGTGTTCTTTAAATAGTGATTTTTCTTGTTAGTAACTAGATTATTTTTCTCTAAAGTGGGACTATCAGGAGTTTTTGCACCATTGGATCATCAGCCTGATGTGAGTTTTGGGTCCAAATATTCTATGGTCACTACACTAGGGAAAGCTTTACTTTACACTGAGGAAGACAATAAATCACTACAACAAATTATTGATTGTATAACCCTTTTCTGATTTTTGAGTGGAAACATAAAATATAGGTAAAATAACTCCATAACCAAATGGCACCAAAGGCTGGAAAGACCAAACATTTCATTAAAGAGATTTGGTTGTTTTTATAACTTTTATACACATAATGACGAGATTTAAATAATTTGTTTTTTTGTTTTTGTTAGTATGATACATTGGAGGTTTCATGATATATATTAATAGTGTTTTTTTGTATGACTTGTTTGTGTACATGGCAGCAATTGTATATGCATTTACAATACAATGCAGATTTTTAGCAAGATTATTTAGATGCTGGAGGTGCTTTTCCAGCAAACATGTATAGGATTGAGGTATAACTATAGGAGCATGTAGCTTTGTGGTAGTATTAGTATGCTTAAACTTGCCTTGCCTTGCCCCGTTCTTGATATAGTGGCTGTATAGTTGAGTCAGTTTGAGAATTGAGACCACGTTTTAAAAAGAAAATTATGTAGTTTTTTCCTAAGTATCAGTTGCTTAAAAAGAATGAGAATTTTCTGTTTTTGTACGTTCATTGTTAGAAATAACATACAAATGTTGAAAGGAAAGCATTGCTGTTGGTTGTATATTTGAGATACTGTAAACACAATCTGGCAAAACATGGTTTGATGATTGAGGACATATTGTAGATCCTGTTCTTCCTATGACTTATGCTCCCCTGGGTTTTCTATTGTTTTTTGTACATAATTGGCAATGGTGGTTATTTCCAAACCATAGTTTACAGTGGGTTTATAAACCATGATTTGAAAGGAACACCAGGCACAGTTTACTATTTTGGATGTTGTGGCAAGTGGTGTTTAGAGAAAACAAAGACATACAAGAGAAAATATGTAGGGGGAAAGTGTAAGGGCTTGCAGAACTTCAAGCTTAAGTTTAAGGCTTAGCAATTTGATTTCCTCCAGACATTTCCAACTACAGTTTCCATCAGCCCCGACTAGCATGTCCAGTGTTTCTGAGACCTGAAATCTAAATCATCAAGAAAACACATATGATGCCAGCACTAGTATATCATCTTATTTTTGTTTAACATAAATATGTTCTAATGTATTCTAAAGGAGCAACAAACATCTACAGTGGGAGCATAAATTAGAATGTATAGTAGGAAGACTATTGATCAACTGATACTGTTAAATATAATGTAAGATTTGCAAATAGGTGGAAACTAACGTTGGTCTTCCAATGAGTAGAAGCCATAGGGAGAGATTATCCTCAAGTACCAAGTGAAATTCGCTCCAAAGGACTAGAGAATTATCTCATACTGCTTTTGCTGATGGGAGCAATTATGTCTGCATAAGACCGAAATTGGATCAAACCCAGTATCTTACATAGTATCATTTTACTAGCCATTTTCCTCATAGGTATTTATGCTAATCATTTGTATCTCATTGACTTGCTGTAGTAGCAATAAAGAACTTTCTCTCTTGCTTTAAAAAAGGTTCCCTATCTTGCATACCTGATTTATTTTATTTTGTTGAAAGTTCAGGTATTTTAATATTATATTAAATAATTGTGTGTGTGTGTGGGGGGGGACTGAATAGAAAAAGGCCTGCTAGCAAAAAAGTAAAAATAATAGAGATTGATAGCAGTATAACAGATAAAAAAAATTGACAGGATGTAGAAAATAATTGATTGACATCATAACCTTTAGTAAGAAATACTGTAGTCAAGAATCCTGTGGCATGCATAATTTCAAGTGCTTAATTGCTGGATATCTGATTTCATCATTGCTTTCTACCTGTACAGCATATGGATGTTGTGATAATTATTTTCATTATTTCACGATGGTTGATGTCTAATATGGCATGCAAACATAGTTCCATATCACAATTTCATTAGATTTACTTGTTCTGCTGAGTGAATCTCTGAAATA